GCGACAGAGACAGGAGAGAGAGAGGGATTCAGGGGGGGGGGGAGAAACAGGAGAAGGAGAGAAAGAGAAAGATTAGGAAGAGAGAGGGTCATGGAGAGGGGGAAAAGGGAAAGGATAGAGAGGAGGGGAGGAAAGGAGATGACACTGAGTCTGTGTCTAGGGCAGTAGCTCTGGGGTACACACACATAAGAAGGTGAGATAAGTAGGAATATGCAGGAAAGGGAGCTGAGCAAGAGCAGCCAGACTGGGAAGAGAACCAGAAGTATCTTGAAAACCCAGGGATGAGATAGAAGTGGGTCAGCAATGTCACATGTTGCAGAGGAGTCCATGAGGAGGAATATTGAGAAAAGACATTAATTGCATTTGGCAATTAAGAGGTCACTGGTGGCATTTAGGCAGAGCAGTTTCAGTTGAGTGAGGCAGTTGGGAGCCAGGATGCAAGGAGCTGAAATGTGAGAAGGGAGGAAATGGCATGAGTTTGTGACATAGGATTGTAGTTTGAGGAATTCAGAGAGTCAGGTGAAGGTTTTATAAGGATGGAAGATGTTTACAAGCAGTAGGGAAGGAGCCAGTGGTAAGGAGAGATTAAAAACCATTCTTGGCCTTTTTTTTTAAAATAATTTGGAACACAGTACTCTAGAGTAAAAAAAACATCTTGTTTCCTCATCCTATCACTTACCTTAATGGAAATATTAGAAAAAAAATTTTGTTTTTACATTCTATGTTTAACTGGAAACCTCATGGGTTATTTTAATAGATTGTTACCAAGACTATTTGCTATTACAATCAGCATCGCTATGTTAAGATAGACATTACTTTGTGTGTTTGAACTATTAATTTCAATTCACATAAAAGTAAAAATTGATACATAAAATTACATACAATAATGTAAAATGATTTAAGTAGATAAAAGATGAGGCTTTTAAAATGACAAGGATGTCGCCAAGACAACTTTTCAAAGTTATTAATAATGCCATATTTAAAATGCTAAAATAATTGAAGGAATCATTAGCCAGTTGTGAAATTTTATAATGTGATTGACATTTAAATGTTGTCTTACCATTAATTCTTAATCATCCAAAGTAAAGGGGGACAAAATAGATAATTTAAATTCATAAATAATTTTTTAAAGAATGATAAGGTCTTATTTTCTATCAATAAAATACACGAGTAACCAAAGTATCTAATTTTAGTTCCATTTACTTTCTTGATTTATTCTGCAAATCTTCTCAAACAATTCGTAACTTTATTAGCCCTCAGTGTAGAAAGTGTTATACTTCCTATAAGGTGCTGGAGTAGTTGTGATTTAGAAAATGAAGGGGGTCTGGAGATTGCTTCTTACTTACCTTCTACAGGTCTTACTCCCCTCTCCCATCTCCAGGCTTAGTTCTCGTCTAGTTGTTTCATGTATCTTTTTGCTTTTTGTCTCCTCAGATGGCAGACTTCTTGAGGACAGACTATTTCTTGGTTTTATATCTCCCACTAAGAAGGAGCTCAAGAAATGCTTATTGGTTGATCAGTATCTTCTAATTTACTTCTCTGACCTTTTAAGACCAGAAGTCTTTAAGGGGAAGTAGCTTGTAAGGGAGGATATGAAAGTTAATTGGTTCACTATTCAGGTAGTTTTTTATGTCTGCCAACAAGCATCTAATTGTGTACAGAGCCTTGTACCAGGGGGACTGAAAAAGGAAGATGGGACCTTCCCTTCGGAAGCTTCTCTGAAATTGGAAAGATGTTGTGATAAGGTTTTGTCAGTCCTCACTTGGCCTTATAACAAACTTTGAAAGGCCAAGTGAATATAAAATAAAAGTAAAAAAATAATTCTCTATTAGTATGCACTCGGGGAGGCGGAGAGGGGCAGCTATATGGTGCAGTGGATAGAGTGCCGGACATGGAAGGAGGAAGACTTCTCTTAGTTCGTATCTGGCCTCAAGACACTTAGTAAGCTATGTGATCCTGGCCTAGTCACTTAACCCTCTTTGCCTCAGTTCCCTCATCTGTAAATGAGTTGTTGAAGGAAATGGCAAATCACTGCAGTGTCTTTGCCAAGAAACCCCAAAATGGGGTCACAAAGAAAAGCAACTGAACAACAAAGCAAGCACTCCCTAAGCATGTACAGTGTGCCAGGCGATGTAAGAGGTGCTAGAGATACCAGTGAAAATGAAACAATATCTGGAAATTAAAACTCAGAATAAGAAAAGAACAGCCTCTTTCTGAATGGATTTTAGTCTTCTTTGCCACTGTTTTTGTGGAACCATATTCTCATGACTCTGAAGTTAAAAAAAGTTGACATGATGTAATACTTTCAGTAGAAACTTAGGGAGATCCCCTGTAGAATTTATGGCTAGCTTCTTCTAAGGGGAACTTTTCTGCTGAGAATATTGTTAATGATTATGCAAAGACTTAGCATGCTGAAAGCTTAGTGTTAGACCAAGTATTTCTACAGAACTATTTAGAATAATTTATTAAAATGATGTAAATAGTGATTATTAGAACCATGAAAAAAATCACCTACAAGCACATAATTATTGATATCATTTTAAAATAAAAAATTAGCAAAATTAGGGGCTTTTTTTTTTGCTTCTCACAGGGTTTCTTTAAAATCTCATAAAGCAATACAATTAATTTTGGCTTGTTACAAATCCACAAAATTAATCTGAATGCTCTGTTCATCTTTGATGCTCTTGTGGTCCAAGTTTTAAGTTAACATGCTAAAAAAATTTTAAAATGCAAGACCTAGAATTGGAAAATGCAAAGAGTGTGTGATTTGGGTTTTTTTTAACCCTGAGTTTTGAAAGTGTTGTCATCTCATTGTCATCCTTAATATTGAAAAAGTTCATTTTAGAGAAAACTGTAGAATTCAGGCCTTTGTTTCCCCCCTTTGCTTGGTCTGTTGAAGTCACTTCCTCTTTAATCTCCTTGCCCCAAGTTCCTCCCTACTCCATTCCACCCTTCCCACAGATGCCAGAAGGATCTCCATAGAATGCAGGGCTGATTGTGTCCCACCCCTACTCCTAAACTCCAGTGGCTCCCTGTTACCTGTAGGATCAGATATTTGGCATTTGAAGCTCTTCACAATCTGTCCCCTTCCTGCCTTTCAAGTCTTCTTACATTTTTCTCCCCTTCAACACACTCTAGCCTTCTTTCTATTTCCCACACACGCTCTGCTTGCTGCCCCCCGTTCTTTTGCCCTGGCTGTCCCCCCATCCCCCACCTGTGCCTCTTGGAATCCCTGGCTTCCTTTGAGGAAGGGTTCCTTTTCTGTATCAAGCCTTTATCATCCCCTTAGCTCAGGGATTCATAATCTTTTTTTTTTTTCTTGGCCATGGACCTCTCTGGCAGACCGGTGAAAACTATGAATCCCTTCTGAGCATGACGTTTTTAAATATGTAGGATTACAAATAAAGCCAGCTACATTGGAATATAGTTATCAGAATATTTTTTAAGAAAAGTTCACGGACCCCAGGTTAGCAACTTCTGCCTGAACTAGTAGTGCCCTCCCTCCCAAACTACCTTGTATTTTTTCTGTGTGTAGAAATGCTTACGTGTATTTCCATTAGAATGTGAGCTCCTTGAAGTTAGGAACTATTTCATCACCTTTCTGTTTCAGTCCCCACATAAGCACAGCTCCTGACAGGTAGAAGGTTCTGAAAAATACTTTTTAATTAAGTGATTCAAAGTGATATTTTTATTCTGTAAACATTTTGAGCCTTAGGTGAAACATATTGTAAATTCTCAATATTCTAAAGGGAATAAGATGAATGGATAATACTAAAAAGAAAAAAAAACACTAAATTTCATCTATTTGCTATTTTGTATTCTATGCCTCGTTTTTACTTCACTTTTCCATCTTATACGTTGCTTGGGCTAACATTAAAATTAGTTTGTGTTATATTTCCTAATCATAAACCACCTAATGATGGTGGAAGGGAATCCAGGAGTACGTTGTATTGCATTAAAAAACTTGCCTGAGATTAAAAATTGGTCACACAATGTGGCTAATAAACACTCGCATAATCGGAAGTTGTTTAGAGATGATTTTTCTTTCTCCTATTTATGTTTTTAATACAGTGATTCCACCAGTAGCAGAGAGCTGCCGAGTTACATCTGCTCCTGCCTAATTAACTCTGCTGGTTGGTGTCAGATGAGAGCTAATTTTGAGATTAAATTGAGAGACAGAGAGACAGAGAGAGAGAGAGAGAGAGAGAGAGAGAGAGAGAGAGAGAGAGTGTGTGTGTGTGTGTGTGTGTGTGTGTGTGTGTGTGAGTGTGTTAGGGTTGCTTGGTGGTTTTATACAGGATCAAAATGCAGTTTGCAATAATCATTTCATTTGCTTAATACTTTTGAGAAAACTGTCACTTTTTACCGAAATGTGACCAGTGTAAATATGGCTTATTTATAAACACCTGTAGTTTTGAATGAAAGATTAATGTGCACTTTTCTTAGATTAAAATGCTATGGCTTATTTTTATGGCATAATAAATGCTTGAGTATAGGCAGCCTTTGGGACCATGTATTTTATATGGGGCAAAATAAAGGAAGCTACTTGAAAATTAATGATCACATTATTTGTCAAAACTCCTTGACTTTCTCTGGTGAAAGCACTACATGCGTTTAAAATAAAGCATCTTGAATAAAAATTAAAGTTTTGCTGATGACCTTTCTTCTTCCTCATTCCTATCTTTTAATGCTGACCACTGTTATCCAGTTGTATCTGTTCTTTCCCCCGCCCCCCAAGAGGATATCAGGGATAGGAGCAAGTATATAGAAAAGCAGAGAAAATGATTTGTTTAGATGTCTTTTGAGTATTCTACTTACTTTCTGAAATCCTTAATTTAGTAAATGGGCCATAGAAGCCTGAAATAAATGAATAATGTACTAACAGGTGCTTATGACTATTGTTTTCTATGTATACTTGTGGATGATAATAGACATTTGCTAAGTTTTATTGGTATATTTTTATGCCAAATTAAAGTTTACTTTTTTTTCCCTTTGGGCAGATTTGTCTGAAGAACTGAAGAGTCTTCTGCTTTACTACAAGCTACTGTACTTTGAGTTTCGCTGCATCTGGTAAATCTCTCTTTACTCTTTTTTAAAAAAATTTAATTGATTAATTTTTAGTTTTCAACATTCACTTGCATAAGATTTTGAATTGTAAATTTTCTCCCCCTCCGTCTCTTCCCCCCTCCCCAAGACATCATGCTATCTCATAGAGGCTCTACATATGCATTCATAATAAACATTTTCACATTTTTACTATTTCTTTGTAAAGATATAATTGTGAGTCCTAGTTAGACTTATTAGTAGTTAACATGAGGAATTATTTTAATTTAGACTACAAAAAACATTTTAAAATTTAAAATTTGATGTTTTGTTTGTGAGGATACATTTATGGGAGTTCACCAATTAACCGATTGCCTTCTTATTTCATTATATTTTCATTTTTCATGTGATCAGAATATCAAAATTCATATGCTCCAAACCACTTTTTAATGTGTTTTGACATTAAGATGCTGTTTTTGGTAAGCGTATCCCCATTTCCTAGAAGTTCTATTTTATACAATCAAATAAAGTTATTTGTGATTTATGCAGAATATGTGATGAAAGATGAAATAATTAGTAGGATGCTGTTAAATTTTTGATTACATTTTTGCCTAAATCACTCTACATTGGAAAGTTTAGCTAGCTTTCTATTATAGACTATTGATAATATGAGAACAATTTGTATGTGATGCTCCATATATGTATTTGTAACATGCACATTATAATGGTTGAAAAATTTATTACTAAACAAAATAAATTCAAGCCTAATATTTATCAAAAACTGGGATACAAACATAAGAAAGGTTTTATATCTTCAGATGAGATGCAAAAGTATAAAGAATACTTAATATGTTTGATAGAATCAAGATGTAGTATAATCTCAACAGGTTAGGATAAAGGGACTTAATTATCAGAGTGAAATTTTACAGGGATGAAATTTTACAGGGATAAATATAAAGGCTATGTTAATATTTTAAAAATCAATTGTACAAATATAGGGGATGGATACTTGTATTAATAATTCATGTAAAGATACCTAGGGCTTTTATTGGCCACAAATTCATTATGAACTAATACTATGACCATTCTGCCTAAACAAAACAAAACAAAATTTAATGTGCATTAATAGAAATATTTTCACTGGTTCAGTCGAGGGAAGTAATAGTTCAGTTGTAGTGGTGAGGTCATTTGGACTATTGTGTTGAGCTCCAGGTACCATGTTTTGAAAGGGGGATTAACAGAACTTGAGTTCCCTAAGAAGAAGGAAGTCATATGATGTAATATGGGGGAGGTCACTGAAGAAAATGGAGCTGTTGAACCCAGAGGAGAAAAGACTTGGGACGAGGGGAGGTGGCTGCGAGAAATGTCTTCAGATTTTTGAAAGTCAGTCATGTGAAAAAAGTGAATATTCTTATTTTTTACTGACTCAGAGGTCAGAGCTAATTAATATTAATGACCAGTGGTTGTGTGGTGACAGCTTTTTACATTAGGAAAGGATTTTAGAGTCATCAGCAGAGCCTAGATTAGGTGTAGGCAAAACAGATATAGTCACCTAAGAGCGTAGCATCATCGGATATTTTAAGATGTATGCTTTGTAAATGCATGTATTTTAATATTAGACAATTCCTCTTTCTCTAGCGTGTCCGTATTTATTTTGTGACAAGTTTAGTCTCATTTGTTACAGTGAAGGCACAGAGTCTTTGGTAGATAGTAACACGCAGGAGGTACAATTTTCACACCTTGCTTTAGGTTTAACAGTTGCAGTGCTGACAGAATTTTCTCACAGTTAGAATGAGCTGCTTCACAAAGTAGTGAGCTCTCTGTCATTGGAAGTGTTCAACATTGGTTTCATGACCTTTTGTCAAGGACAGAGATGGAAGAGATTTGTTTATTGGGTAGTAGATTGAACTAGGTAACTTCCTGTGACCCTTCCAATGCCAAAGTTCTATAAATTTAAAGAAAAACAATTCAGATTTTAGTTTTGATTTATTCTAATAGTTGAGAGGTATAGAGAACTTCAGATACACATTTTTTCTCACCGTTTAAAGCTGATTTCTTTAACAAGTATTTTCCAGTTGATTGAGTGTATTTTGAGATCACCTCTAACTTCTGATCACACTTTGATTTTGAAGTGTTTGAAGCTTTGAACTTTCTAGCTGAGTAAAGTTTTGAAGACAGATTGTTTTTTCCTGTTTCATTAAAGCCACCAGAGATAATTTTATCTCTTTATTTTTATAAGGCCTCTTTCAAAGTATATTGACATGATTATTGATAGTTTGCTAACTGGATCAACACTTAATGATGTTTCTGAGAGTATTAACACACATGAGTATTATGGAGGTAAGTAAAAGCAAAATTGACCTCTGGTATCCTTGTTTGCCCTGAGCAATTTTACCAAAAAATGGCTTAGTGTAGTTAACCAGGAAATGAAATTAACCAGAACACTCAGTTACCTCAAAGTGATAAATAATTTAGGTTGTTTATTATTCTCAACAATAAGCCTGATTTTTCAACATGTGAACTAGAAGTATAAATATATAAACCCATGTCAATAAGACTTTGTGTTAACATAAGGATTCGAGGTTGCTATCAACTACAACTGGAGTTATGGTTATTTTTATAGATGTGTCACAGCCGTCTTACTACATTATAAGCTCCTCAAGGGAAGGGACGAGGTCTTATGTCAACTTTTGTTCTCTAAAACAATGACCTGCACATAGCAGTTGCCTGAAGATTTTTTAAATTGAATCACTTCTATGTTGTTAAAGATAACATGTTTATTATTATCTATGTATCTATATGTTTTGAGATATACAAATTGAGATATTACAAATATATTGTAATATACTATATATTACTATATATATACAATAATACACATTATATATTGTATACATTGTAAACCAATGTATACAATATACAATTAGGATCACAGCAGTGGTTATTTTGCTGGGGAGGTGGAGTATTCCTTAATAGTTATAAAAATAGTCATGTTGGTGTTTCTGACACTATATTTCATAGGATTGTACGTTTAGAGCTTTAACCAACCTTAGAGATCATCTAGTCTATACCCTCCATTTTATAAATGAAGAAACTGACACCTGGAAAGGTGAAGTGTTTGCTTTTCTTTTAATTTATGCTTTATTGAAATAATTTTCTTTTTTGCCTTTTAAGGTCTTGCTTTCCTGATTAAAAATGTTACTGACTTGAATCCAGTTTTTCCATTTGGCGAAGAGGAAGAAGAATTTTCGCATTGCCTATTCATGACCTTTTGAATCTCTAAGGAGGGATGTTTGTAAGATGTTGCTTCTCAGTGCTTGGAATCCTGTCAGTCTTTTGGTGGTAAATGATACCTACATTTGCAAGTATTGTTAAAAATTTAAGAACCTCTATGGGTAACTCTTGGCTGGAAGAAAGCATTTGTCAACCATGGTAAAACTTGCAAACCCACTTTACACAGAGTGGATTCTTGAAGCAATACAGAAAGTCAAAAAACAAAAGCAGAGGCCGTCTGAGGAAAGAATCTGCCATGCGGTATCGGCATCCCATGGCCTGGATAAGAAGACTGTCTCTGAGCAGCTAGAACTGAGCGTTCAGGATGGCTCTGTTCTCAAAGTCACCAACAAAGGCCTTGCTTCCTACAAGGACCCTGACAATCCTGGACGTTTTTCATCCGCTAAACCAGGCACTTTTCCTAAATCCGCCAAGGGGTCTAGGGGGTCATGCAACGATCTCCGCAACGTGGACTGGAATAGACTCTTAAAGAGAGCAATCGAAGGGCTTCAAGAACCGAATGGCTCCTCCCTGAAGAACATAGAAAAATATCTTAGAAGTCAGAGCGACTTAGCAAGCACCGCCAACAACGCTGCCTTTCAGCAGCGGTTACGCTTGGGGGCCAAACGCGCTGTGAACAATGGGAGGCTACTGAAAGACGGGCCTCAGTATAGGGTGAATTATGGTAGTTTAGAAGGCAGTGGAGCTCCAAAGTATTCCAACACTTTTCCATCTTCCCTTCCTCCTGTCAGCCTTCTACCCCATGAGAAAGACCAGGTAAGTGTAGAAAGAACGATAAAGACAGGTACTGCAGTTTGTTTAGTTTTAATTGAGAAAAAGGAAATGATGAGTTTGATAATTCATTTGTTTTTCTTTCTTTTTTTGATAGTTTTTTTATTCTAAAACTTGTTGGTTGATAAAATTGAACTAAATTATTTGAATTATATTTTAAATAGAAGGATATTTCACATGATTTTTAGTGTGTATATTTGTGGGATGGTGGGCATTGTGAGAGATCATTCAGGGTGGACAACATTCTGAACATCCAAGAGAGATCCTTTTCTTCTTTTTCTTTTATAATTACAGAAGCAGATTCTGTACAGTTTTTATTCTAGTAGAATTCTTAGATACTTCACTAAGTAGCTAAAAAAAAACCCTTACCTAAATCCTTCTGTCTCCATTTAAATCTATGTTTATTTTTGTCCTTTCCTCATTGGAACAAATTTATAACTGTTCGCTGTCTGTCATGTTGTATCTTTTCATATGTTTAAGAGTCAGAGGTTTTTAAACTGGGGTTTGTGAACTTGCTTTTTTAATACTTTGACTGCATTTCAATAGAATTAGTTTCACTTTTAGTCCTCTGTATTTTTGTTTTATACGATTACAAACATTTTTCAGAGAATGAGTCCGTACGGTTTCACTAGATTGTCAGAGGAGTCCATGACACAAGAAAGTTTAAGAACTTGCTCCAAATCAAATCTCTGGGAATTGTCTAGGCTTTCTCCATGCTGTAGTGATAACATGTATTCATGGTAGAATCCCTGTAACTTGATGCCAGAAATTCAGGTTTTTCCATTGGTTCTGTGGGGATTTTCTTTGAAACTTGCTGTTGAAAGTGCTGACATAGCCACCAACAGCCAAAGTAAAGTAGAAATCCACATTCAGGTAGCATTGTTCCAAATTGTGGACTGTCCTAGGACACTTGGCTTCCCCTCCTCATCCTGTTGTCTATCTTTAGAACCGCTGTTTGCAGGAGATAGGCAGAAGTTGGAAAGAAATTCTTTTTTTTTTAAGATTAAGAAATAATTGGAGACTATTAGCAATATAAAGTTTTTATTTGTGGATTTTATATATCTTGTGCTATTTCTAGTAGCAAGGTAAATCATAGGGCAGTTCTTAGAAATTACTAAAATAATAATGCCCTGAAGTTATAGCTCCTAGAATGTTTCACACATAGAACTCCCCTTTACCATACCAATTATGTTTTTATAAAAGAGAAAGAAGCATACCATGAGGAAATTCTCTAAGGGAATCCAAAAAGATTCCTTCCCTGGCACATAGTGAGCTCTTAAAATGTTTATTTACTGACTGGATGGCTGGCTTGTTTATAGGTCTTGAAATCATGCCTTCCATCCTTACATATTTCAGCGTTTTAAAGTTAATGAACAAGAATTAAATTAAATTTTGTTTTTTAGGGGGAATGGGAGGTCAAGTAATTCCATCATAAGTTTCTTTATTATTGATTGCCCACATGACTGTTTGCTCCCATTGAGAATCACTTAATATGGAGCCGAGATTGGAGCCAGCACAACTTTCACATAGCCCTGTTATCATTTTTCTCCTTAACCTTAATTATTCTTTATTGCCATGCTTGTCATGCATGTCTCCATTCAGCAACTGCACTAGTGCCTTTAGTCCAAAGGAGAATTCATGGTGAGATGTGTACGCCTGCTAGTAGTAGTGTTCAATGGAAAGAATACTGGCTTTCACGTCAAGGGGCCTGGATTTGAGTGCTGTTTGCTGCTTCCTGTCTGTGTGACCTTGGGTAAATTCCTTCATTTCCCTGGCCCTCAGCTTCTTAATCTCTAAAATTAAGATGTTAAACTAGGTAGATGACCTCTGATTTAGCTCTAAATCTCTAATCCTGTAATGCTTTAAATCCTAAAATTAATCCTAAAGTTAAGTAATATATTCTTCACTTGCAATTATTACTTCTCTTAAAATAGTCTAGTTACTATTACTACATAATAACAATGCTAATTGGGAAGTGTGTTCTGTAATTTTGCTCTCTGGTTAACTGAAATTTGAGAATTTGAATTAATAAATGTTAACAAGGATCTAGGTTTTGTTTTTTTTTTTACAACTTAATAATGGACAAATGAATTGTTGAAATCTAATAAAGTCACTTTAGCTGCTTCCTCTTTTGTGGTATTTTACCAGGAGAGTTTGTTTAAAATTTTTTTTCCTGATCTAGTTAAAAGTTTTATTGATACATTTTGTTTCAGTACCACATTCACTTCCTGCTATACTACTCCCTTCCCCTCAGTAGTGCCTTCTCTTTTAAAAAAAAATCAGTGGAGCAAAACTGAAAGCACAATTATGACTTTAAGAACATGTAATTATTTACACTTAAAGTTTAATATTTCTTAACCCCAAAGAGGAAGAGTGTTTTAATATTAGTCATATACAACCAATGTAGATATTTTAATTATATCTGAATTCTGCTCTCTTTTACTTTATTGTGGTCATTGTATATATTATTCTCCTGCTTGTGCTTCTTCCCTTTGTTAAAGCAGTTTGTGTAACCTATTATCTCTGGATAATGAGTGATAAGTATTTAAGCATTATGCAAATAAATACTATAAATTTTATCTGGTGTCCCAAGTAAATATTTTGGTATCATAGGAAATACTTTCTTGCTCACATATCAAAACTCTGACATACTAGTTATTTGATTATACTTTGTGTCACTATTGCTTATTTTTCATTGTCATCAAGGTGGCAGTTTGAGAGGACTGTCTTTCTTTAAGAGCAGTGTAGTGTGTACTTTGTAGTTAGGTTGTGATGATGGCTGAGGTGCTAGAAATACCGGTGGAAGAATGATTGGGTCCATAAAGTCTTGAATCTGCATTATATAGTAGTAAAGTTATTGGGACACATGAAGGAACAGAGGGCCCCATGGGTACAAGACCCTCTTGTACACTGAGAGACCTTCTCCCAGCTCATTCTAGCAGCCAGTTGTCTTTCCATGAAGCCAATTCCCCAGCTAGGCTTGTCCAATGATTTCTTTTAATTTGTTTGATAGATAAAACTTTTCGTTGAAGGACAAAAGTATGTTTTTTGCAGTAGAACTTAACTCTTAGAGGGCAGGGAGTTTCATTTTTGGTTGTCACTTCCACTCTTAGAATGCTTAATAAGTATTTGCTGAATTATTTGTTGAAGTCAGATTTTTTCACAGTGCCTGACTCAGAGGGCTAGAAGCGCTCTCTCTTTACCTATGAGTCTCACGTGGTACTTATTAAGTTTTAAACTTCATGGCTGCAGTGAGCTAAAGCAGGAAACCAGTAGGAAAAGGAATAAATCTGTGACCAGTTAGGTATAACAGCATTATCATTTTTGTGCATCATTGGATTAGGTGATACACAGTGCAAGCTAAAACAGACAAAAGTCCTTGAATCTCTAAAAATATGATAGCAAATCTTGTGCTTTAGAGTTGAACTTAGGTAGTAAACTCATTGACTCCTTACTATATAATCTTGGCTTATTAAGGGAACTCCTAAAGGAGAGGGACTTAATGTGATTTTGTATTTCTTGAGATTGTAGAATTCAAGTAAACTTGAGTACTGAAGACTTTGGGGGAAAAATTGATTAGAGAGGGGCTAATATCACTGTAATTTCTGGAATTGTGCAGAATCCATGTCGTTTTGTTATAAAGGACTCTTGTATATTTTACCTCATTAAGGATATCTTGTTAAAATTTCTCATCTGCAAATTTTGGTGTATTTTCCAGTGTTACTCTCAACACGAAAATTCCCATTCAAGACTCCGGTAGTTGAAAAGGAATGATAAAAATAATAGCTGTCATTTTTATGCTCCTAAAAGGTTTGCAGAGTGGATTATATACATGAACCCTTTTGAACCTTACAGTGACTTTTCAAGGTAGATATTACGAGTATTTTTATTCTCATTTTGCAGGTAAGGAAATCAAGGCTGTGGGCGTGCTTAAATGACTTCCCTCTGTTTGTTTAGCTAGTAAAGTATCAGAGGCAAGATTGGAATCTAGATTTTCCTGGTTCTTTACCATACAATAAATAGTACTTTTATACCACATATATGGTAATAAATAATATCCAAGTAGTGATTCCTTCCTCCCCCTCCAAATGCCTTTCTCTAAAAGGATGAGAAGACTGTATAAGGAGTTTAAGTATTTGTTTCTTAAACAGCCTTCAGACATTGTGAAGATTTTAAGAGTGGGAAATAGTAGTAAAGGAGATATGAGGTTGATGAGGAGAATAGATAAAAGAGGAGAGCAGAAGAGAATATGGCTTAGAAGAAACTGACAAGAAAATCACCTGACTTTGGGCTACTTCAGATGTATTAGGCCAATATTTTCTTTATTCTTATTACTTCATTATTATGCTTGTCCTAGAGTCCATATTGTCTATTAATATGCCTAGTGTCCTTTGGCTCATCACCCGTGGTTGAATCTCAGGGTTCATTGTCCTAGACTGCTGTGGGTTGTGTCCTACTAGAAGTGTATTTCTTACTTGATAGTGATTGAAAGACTCAGTGTTGTCCTTGGATGACTTGAGACACTTCCGTTTTCCTTTACGTTAGTTTTTTTTTTGCATTGCAGGTGCCACACCTTTAAAAGTCTGTAGTACCTCTGTTGAAAATTGCAGGGAAAACTATATAGTTTTATTTTGTAAAGGTTCTCCAGACACAATAGTCAGAATGATGTGAATTTTCAAATTGGCAAAAGTCAACTGCTGAATGACTAAAGGAAGGTCTGCAGAAATCTGTTAAATTGTGAAAGGCAAGATAGATCAAATACTTAACTTTCTTTGCTTCGGGGAAAACTGTTTAGTTCATATTTTTCCTATAATTACATAAACTTAAAAATTTATGTAAAATGGTACATGAGGAATTCTCTTGTGTGCATGTAGTTCTAGTAGAGTCTTTTGTTTGGGGTGGGGGCGTTTGGCAATGGCGTTAAGTGACTTGCCCAGGGTCACACAGCTAGTAAATATAGTTGAGTCATTCTTAAGCAGGCGGTT